GGCCCTTTAACCTAGCGGTGAATTGCATAACAAGAAGCTGTGGTAGAAACTGAAGTCAGACAAATTCAAATGAAGCACACAATTTTTCTTCTTAAGGTGACAATACATCACTGGAATAAGCTAACAAGGGCACCAAGAAATTCTTAATGTTTTTATGTCCCCCAACCAGGACATGATGTCTTTCTGGAAGACAGGTTGTAGCCAAATGCAGGTTACTGCCCTCAGTGCTTGTACATGCATGAAATTTAATGACATAGAATCATAGAATCATAGAATCATTAAGGTTGGAAAAGACCTCTAAGGTCATTGAGTCCAACCGTCAACCCACCACCACCATGCCCACTAAACCATGTCCCTAAGTGCCGCATCTACACGTCTTTTAAATACCTCCAGGGATGGGGACTTAACCACTTCCCTGGGCAGCTTGTTCCAATGTCTGACAACCCTTTCGGTGAAGAAATTTTTCTGCATGTCCAATCTAAACCTCCCCTGGTGCAACTCGAGGCCATTTCCTCTTGTCCTATCACTAGTTACTTGGGAGAAGAGACTGACACCCACCTCGCTACAACCTCCTTTCAGGTAGTTGTAGAGAGCAATGAGGTCTCCCCTCAGCCTCCTTTTCTGCAGGCTAAACAACCCCAGTTCCCTCAGCCGCTCCTCATCAGACTTGTTCTCCAGACCCTTCACCAGCTTCATTGCCCTTCTTTGGAGACGCTACAGCACCTCAACGTCCTTCTTGTAGTGAGGGGCCCAAAACTGAACACAGTATTCGAGGTGCGGCCTCACCAGTGCCGAGTACAGGGGCACGATCACTTCCCTACTCCTGCTGGCCACACTATTTCTGATACAGTCCAGGATGCCATTGGCCTTCTTGGCCGCCTGGGCACACTGCTGGCTCATATTCAGCCGGCTGTCGACCAACACCCCCACGTCCTTTTCTGCTGGGCAGCTTTCCAGCCACTCTTCCCCAAGCCTGTAGCGCTGCATGGGGTTGTTGTGGCCGAAGTGCAGGACCCGGCACTTGGCCTTGTTGAACCTCATACAATTGGCCTCGGCCCATCAATCCAGCCTGTCCAGATCCCTCTGCAGAGCCTTCCTACCCTCAAGCAGATCAACACTCCCGCCCAACTTGGTGTCACCTGCAAACTTACTGAGGGTGCACTCGATCCCCTCGTCCAGATCATTGATAAAGATATTGAACAGAACTGGCCCCAGTACTGAGCCCTGGGGAACACAAGAATACAGAGGAGATCAGATCATATGACTAAATGGTCCTTTGTGGTCTTACTTCATTATTTCTTGTTGTACTAAGTAAATATAAGAAGGGGTGGCTACTTGTGAGCATCTGCTCAAGATTATATTCTTTGTCAACCGACTGCAATCAGTCTCTGTGAAAAACATGACTATCCTGAGTGTGTAGGATTTTAAGTGATCGCAGTACACGAGACATTCTTGGCAAGCAGAGTATGAAATATCAAAAGACAATCAACATTAGTCACCTATTTTCATTTGTCAGTGCACTAAGCTGACAAGATTTCAATTCATCTGGGTCACACAGGCGCTCAGAAGAGCTTAAGGAGAAGCTGAAGGAAAGGGCAGAAGCGTGAATCCATTAAAAACACTGGCCATCAGACTTAGGTAACATGATAATTAGGCTGCAAGCTTTGAAACATTGGCAGACAAACCAGACAACTAATTCTATATGCAATATTACACTAGTAAATATACATCAGTTTTAAATATTTATGGATTTATTGCCCAGCTTGTGTATAAATGAATTAAGTTACCTCACCTGAAGCTATGATCCCCCATAATGAGCTGTGGTATGCAATGAAGACTAAAAGGTTTGACACTGACAAGTAATACCTACCTCTCTGAAAGCAGCCAGGATGACACAACTGAATTGTGTTGCACATAAACTATTGAGAACTACATTTAAACATTAATGAACTAACATTCTTCTTAAATTGTTGTATTTGCCAGGATGTGAACCTGCATCTTCTCTCTTCTGCTCACAAAGTTGATACGGCAATGTTCACCTCAGTGCACTTTCTGTTCTCATCACCTGTCCCCCTCCTTGAAGTTTGTTATATGAAGACACAACCTTTTTATCAAGTAACGAACCTCATCTAAACTATGCAGAAAACCAATGGCCGTAAACAAATAGCTAAAGCAGAACAGTAGAATAATAATACATTCCTTAACTGAAGGAAGAAAGAATAAAGTGGGAGAGGGAGAGTTCATTTTGGAGTTAGCACGTAAACGTTTTTTCAGTTCTGCTACCCCGAAATTCAAAACAAGGGTGCTTTCCAAACAAGAAAACAATTTTATCCAAAAGAGACTCAAAGATTTTGAACTGCCTAATTTTGGTATGCAAACCTTAACACCCTGTGAACGGTTCTAACTTCTAGAAATTATTTAGAAAAATGCCAGGCCCTTTAGATGGTCTTAAATATGGAAGCTTTCAAAATTACCAGATACTTTGCAAATCTAACCTGGAAGGTGCATAAAGTAGGGTCTTAGCTCTTTCTCTGCCTTTTCCCCAGGAGAAGCTGTGGGCTCCATTTTTAGAATTACAAAGAATTCCCAACTCCAAATGGAGTAAACAAAAGCTGCAGGATCCATGCGCTTGTGAAAATCAGATCCTGGGGCATTAATAATTGAAGTGTCATGGTTACCTCTGTTGGTATCAACATCACCTATGGAACTCAAACATTAGTAGTCTAGTGCTGGTAACTGAGACAGGGAAGAAAAAGCATTAAGAGGTTGAAGGGCATTCATTACCTTTTTGATGCCTAGAGGGATAACGTTGCTGTGCTACTGGAGGCCAACCAAAGGTGAAGACTGATCATTCTACACAGTAAAGTGAAGAAGTAGTTAGGCTCTCAAGTTGCAGCATCTGATGTCTTCAAAGGAACAATATTACACTAGCTGGCTGGCACAACACATTGTTCAGAACATCAAGGCTCAAAACAACAAAACATCAGTAGGTGAGGCTCAGACCCTAAAGGCATCAGCAGAGACGACAAAGCCAGCAGAAGGAATACTGAATTTAAGCAGCAAAATATGGCTACAGCACGCTTTCCAGAGATTATATTCTGCATATCAGAGGTGATCAAATGTCATTCCCTTGAGACACACATAGGCCATATCTTCTTTTGGACATCACATATTCAGATGTGCAAAGGTCGCACATGCTATGAAGAGTCTAGGTGGAGGAAAGCACGGGGAGCAGTTCACAAGCAGCAAAAGCCTCTGCATCCTTAGGAGGCAGGGCACGGAGCTGTCAAATACCAGAACCCACTGCTGTCCCTGCTGGTGGTGCCAGGGGCAGGATGAGCAGGAGACAACAACAGCAGCCTAAAGAGTCAGAGGCACTGAAAAGACATCCCACCACTCCACTGCAGGCCTGGGCTGGACATCCCGCTCAGGCCTGTGGCAACCTCACGTTGCTAGCTTTATCCCCACTTGCTGCTCAAACAGAAGCTCACTCAAATTGCTGGCAAGTCTTCTGTGGTTTCGTAGACCCAGTTTAGATACCCATGTTGCGTATTTAAATCTATTAAATCACATTTATATTTTCTTGAGAAAAAATGTAGGGGAATCCAAATAGGGGAATTTATAACCCTTGAACATGCAACCTTTCAAGACTGATGTTGTGATTTAACCCCAGCTGGCAACTAAGCACTCACCACTCGCTCACTCCCTGTCCCGCGGTGGGATGGGGGAGAGAATCGGAAGGGTAAAAGTGAGAAAACTCGTGGGTTGAGATAAAGGCAGTTTAATAGGTAAAGCAAAAGCCGCGCACGCAAGCAAAGCAAAACAAGGAATTCATTCACTACTTCCCATGGGCAGGCAGGTGTTCAGCCATCTCCAGGAAAGCAGGGCTCCCTCATGCATATTGGTTACTTGGGAAGACAAAACGCCATCACTCCGAACATCCCCCCCCTTCCTTCTTCTTCCCCCAGCTTTATATACTGAGCATGACGTCACATGGTATGGAATATCCCTTTGGCCAGTTAGCACTGCTCAGCAGTAACGAAAACATCCCTGTGTTATCAACACTGTTTCCAGCACAAATCCAAAACATAGCCCCATGCTAGCTACTATGAAGAAAATTAACTCTACCCCAACCAAAACCAGCACAACTGACTTTTGTTGATTCAAGTCAATAATGATAATTACAGATCTGTTATTATTCCCATGTTTAACAAAAGAAGCCTTGCAACATACATTATTAAAGGGTAGACTACCTGAGGTGCCTGATCTCAAAACTGTAATACTGTTTTTGAATAACTGATACATCTTGTACATTCTCCTTTAATCAATGTTGGCAAACCAGGTCATGTCATATCCCTTCTCCAATGCTGATTTTGGTGGGAGGCGAAAGAATTTAAAACCTCATAGGAGGAGGAACCTTGCAGGATTTAGGAATCAGCATACTGTTTCACCCATTATGTTTTAATCAAATATTTTCCTGGGGTAGATACGTGCTCTAGGAAAGATCCTCATGATAAAATAATGCTTAACAAATCTCATTACTCAGGTTTATGAAGTCACTTGCCCCTTCTGTAATTCAGAGGGATTAAATCTCTCCTGCAAATTAAAAATAGGACGAACGACTGATTAGAGCAGGGCTTCTGTTTGCTGTTTGAATCAGGCAGACAAAAGAGGGAGCAGAAGTAGTCATGTTCAAGAATTGCAACAAATGAGGATATTTCAAATCTCAGACTAACTTTATCTCAAGATCTCATTGATTACAAAGAAAAAGACTAGCAAGCTTCATTCTTATGTTTTATAACATTACCAAAATCTTTTGATAGCCATATAATTCACATTTGCCTGTTTCATTGTGTTCTAGACAGAGAAGCCTAGGGAAAAATGGCTAATAAAAGCAAGGTGTTTTCATCCTTACTATGTGTCTGTACTTGATGTTTTTTAATTAAAAAAAAGATACTAGAAGTGCACATAGCTTTTTTATTTTCTTTTTTTTTCAAATGCAAGAATCTTAACATTCGATTTTAAGCATAGAAAGAGAAAGGGGATCACAGAGGAGGGATAGAGAAAAATTAGAGAAACACCAGATACTGCTCTACTGTGGTCACTGCAGCTAGTGTGGGCATGTATGAGCTATCTTTAAACTAGCAAGCTTGGATATTGCTAAAGAAGTAGCAAAAGTAACAATGCTCAAGGCAAGCTGCAGGCTCTTCCTCAAGGCTGGGTGTTTGGCACGTGGCCCACACGGAGCTACACACTGCTGCAGCCAGAGTGCTATCATGCACAGGGCTGTAACAGATGATCATATGTGCTGGCAGAACAGATGAAAGATCAGTCCTTGGTTTATCTTGGAAGTTAGGAGATAAAATCCATGTATGAAGATTACAAAAGTTGAAGATGCAATTAGTAAAAAGACAGGGTTTCACTCATCAGTCAGCTGCTTCAATTAGACTCCCCCACAATGGCTCTTTTCCAAAATCTTTTACAGATACTTTTGAATCAGGCTTCACTAGATATTCTTGAGACAATAAACTCTGAAGAGCACAACAGTAGAGGTGATGAAGCAGAGAAGGGGCAAACTCTCCACTTTCAAGTTTTTTAGTGTCAGGAATCTTAAGAAAACCCTGTGTATCTGGTTTTCCACATGAAGTAGCTTGCATGTTTGTTCCCCACCTAAAAGAAAAAAACTCTCGTGATTTTCCAAAAGAATAAAAACTAGGAAATTTTGAGCAGGCTAAGTATATGCCATCCTGAAATACCTTTGTGGCAAAAGCTGTAATTGTCACATTAGCAAGCCATAAAATAAAAGGCATGAATATTGTTTCTAGAACCAGGATTTTTGTTCTTTGTAACTTGCAGCCACCAGAAGGTAACATGAGCGCCGAGAAATGCACTCGAACAAGTCTAACACTCCACCCAATGCAGGGCATTGCGTGGTACTGTTTGGAAGCGGATACAGATACCACAGAGTGTAAGTGGAACATATCTACATTGTCTTCCAGAGCATGTAACCATATTAAGTAAGGAGGCCTAATGCATGAGCTTCCCATCTCTGTAAACTTCAGGAAAAGAATGAAGTTTATATCAATTCAAGACAGATTTTGTATGAATTCTCTCCTGTTGCAAAACAAGCGTCATGGACCACATAACATTCAGAAGGATACAAAGCAGCAGGCAATTTCAGAACCATACTGAGGAACGTTATCTAGCAAAAAAGTAGCCTGTGGGTTCTGCAAATGAAATTACTCCAACACTCACTTGCATGGCAAATGTAGAATTCTGTGTAGAGTGTACACCAAGCATCATGAAACTGCATTCAAGGAGAAAAAAAAGCTCCTTTGAGCCATCTTCATATCTGATGTGACCTTGTACAATTTCACTGCAATGAGCACTATTTCTTGTATTTGTGCGAAGACCTGTTATGGCTAAAGAAGTCTGAGGTAAAATGCAATTGCTGTTATGCAGGGACTGTAATAGTTGATGTCATGGCTGGGATACGGAGACTAGGCACAGGCAGGAAGCAAACAGATGTCACCAGCCCACACCCAGAACAAAGTATTTTTTTAACGGTAACATGTTTTAAATAATGTAAATACTGCCATGTAGATTAGAGAATCGGTTTCAGTTAGGTGGCTTACTACTCCTCTGTCTTTCAGGAAAAACGAAGCAGCAATAGGGAGAGGACTAACCTCTTCAGGACAGTATTAGCTACGTGAAACCAAAAAGCACTTCTGGCCTATATCAGCTCTCTCATGATAGCAGAGGCAGAAATTAAGTGGTTCAATGGCCCTTTTGTCTGTCTGTACGCTGTTGGTCAAAAAGCACAGCTATGCCAAAGCTTGTTATTGTGATAACTGGAAGTGGTTTTAATGTTTAGGCCCCCCTGCAGAAAGTAAAGTGACCAGTTACATCCAACGGACACACATTCAATTGCAATTCGAGGCTGTCCTGATTCATCTGGTTTTCATGCAGTTTTCAGAACACTGAACTACATCATCAGCTACAAATAGGCAACGTATGCAACAAGTTGGCCTTGCAAATTCAAACTTAAGACCAAGAAGCAGAGGTGATTGGGAGTTGGGCGCAGTACAGCACATATGTCGCAACTTTTTTTTTCTTTCCAGTTATTTCTCCAGCAACAATTTTCTACCGAGGAAAAAGGTTAGTTTGTGACAAAGCATCTTTTCTGAGATCAAAGGATATAAACAAGAACTATAAGCACCTCTCAGGACAAGAATTATGCTAAGCAGCTCACTCCTCTTAGCATTTTCAGCTCTTACATAACTTTTCAAAAGTCCCTATTGTTAGATTGAAGAAAACAGCTTGTGTACAGACAATATAGCGTACAGAAAGGTCAAGTCAATGCCAATGTCTTGCTGAAAGTTACCTACTACACTCCTGAGAGAGCGAGGATCGGAACTCCCATCTCCTGCATCCGGTGTAGTGCCCTGCACATGGAGTACATTTCATGTTTTGAGACTGAGAATGAGCCAGTGATTTTGAATGGTTACACAGCAAAAGAAATGGAAGTCCCAGCCCATAACTAGGAGAAAAGCCTATCCGTGTTGCTGAAACACTGTAACCCCTGTTTCTGCTTCTTAAGGACTAGAAAGACCACTTCCTCCAAAGAAGGCACCCATGAAAAGCACCAGCTGTTTCTGCTGATAGAGTTGAGGCAAAGCTAGGGCAGGTCTACCTGAGGAAGGCGCTGTTAACATAAGATGTGGTACATCTTACGTGGAGTATAGCACAGCCTTTATGCTGGAGTAGAGTTTTGACGTGGATACCTACAGACCTTTTGCAATATGATCAGTATATGAATAAAAAAAGAAACTAGAGTTTCCAGTGTAGAAATGGCAGTGTGTAAACAAATGACAGAATAGGAGAACTTTGAACAAGAGGGCCTTTTGACCATTTTCAGCCACATTTTCACTTTGGCAAAGACATTCACAACTGAATAGCTGAACGGGAGCCTGTGCGCTGCTATTTTTTTCTCCATCAAACACTTTGGGAGCACTGTTAGATATTAGGATTATGTGAACTGCTCTTTTGAAAAAAGCAATTCACACAGCATTTTTGAGAATTTTTTTAGGAAGAAAATTAGAGAAAAACTTAGTCAGCTGCAAAGCAAAATTTGCAACTTGAGGGAAGTGGTTCAAAGTCCTGGATCTTTCAGTTATGTAGACTCTTTCACGAGGTGTGCTGGTATCGGGCTGCCAAGGCAGGAAGAAGGATTCATTATTTCCAAGAACATTTTTTAATTTAATCATTAAGAACTGATTTTCTCCTGAAACACCCTCCATTCAAATTTCTAAGGCATTCTTTGCCAAGACATCTTTTCTCTTGGGGGTCTCTTTGGATTTAACAGGTAAGGAAATGCAGACTGTGATTGCTCACTGTATTCAAAATAGTAGAGATGACAAGACTGCACAGTCTCCTCCACTTGACAACACAGAAGAATACAGATACAAAGACTTACTCTGCAGGCATATCAGAAAGAGTGGAACCAAATGAGTCACAAAATACAAGGCTGGCCAGCAGTACGATGGAAAGAAATCAAAATTAACTTCTACCTTGTTTTAGAAAAGAAGCCAGTACAGTTTTACAAATAAACTGAACTATAGGGAATATCTGACAAGTATATAAACCTAAAATGTATAAACATACATACTGTTAAAAATTAAACAAAGAGAAAAATGCATCATTTTAACATATTCTTTTAGTGCCTACTTATGTAAAGCAATACAGAGTGGTATATAACACATTTAGGAATAAAGATGCCATTAAATTATACACTTCACAACCAACTGTGGTCCATTAAAACCAGTTACATTCCCTCCTGAATCATAACTGTCTTCAAACATTTAATGTCAACAGCAACATAAAACCAAAACATGTACTTTTACATCATGTGTGTTGCATCCTGCACATAAGCAACCCATTTCTAAAGGTTTGTCTAGACATGGTTCTAGTGTCAGTGTGGCAGTTCAGACATAGAAAAACTAACACAATCACTGAAACAGATTCTCTTACCTCTGGTATTTAGAAGTGCTAAATCAGTAGCTCAAATCAGCATATTACCTGTTAAAATAAGGCTACTTATATTGATATAGATAATTCTTCTTAATCTTGTAGCTGTTTGATTCCTCTTCAAAGGTCAATCCCTATAGTTTAGAACTTTTCAATAAAATTTCAATAATATAGTCCCCTAACATAACTTGACCCACTGCAACAAAATTAGGTATCTCAGATTACTTCCAGTTTTTCAAGATGACCCTTTAAGGCCATTTGCTTTTTATTACAGTATTTGGCCATCAAAAGGCAACACTGCTACTATTTTTGACCCTTCTTTGTAAATACATTAATATATTCTTTAATCCTAGTCCCTTATTACTTAGTTTATTTGCAGCAGCAGAGTGGCAATAAGAGCTTTTGTTCCATTCTGGATGCTTTGGTTTCTTTTCAGATGTCAAACAAATTCATGACTATTCTCAGTACTAAAATGAATGTAATAATCATGCCATTAGTTTTCAAGCAGAAACCTCTGTTGATAGCAAACGGGATTTTTTGCTTAGCAATTCTAGCCCTGAGTATCTTTTACACTTTACTGCTCCCATTTTCTCAGAGGCTAGTTTTAAGAACTGGTGCAGTAACAGTGCAGTATCCCAAAGAGTACTGCCTTTTCTTTTTCCTTTCCAAATGTCGTGGTTTAACCCCAGTTGGCAACTAAGTACCACACAGCTGCTCACTCACCCTTTCCCCCCACCACGGTGGGGTGGGGAGAGAATCAGTTAAAAAGAAAGTAAAACCCGTGGGTTGAGATAAAGACAGCTTAATAGGACAGCAAAATAAGAGAAAATAATAACAATAATAATGATAAAAGAATATACAAACCAAGTGATGCACAATGCAATTGCTCACCACC